ATTTGTGTTTCAATTGGATTTGTGGTCAGTATATATATATATATATATATATATATATATATATATGTATATGAACATGTATATAAATATATATATATATAGTAGAAGAGAAAAGATGTTATACAAAAAGCGCCGTCAATCGTTAGCAAGGTACAAATTTCGCCATTTGCCGCAATAAACCTTCGAACCCGCTTGTAACTTCTTCTTATGGGAGGCATGAGTAATCGCCTTGTTAGCCCTTATGGCCTATAGCGCGTACTCATACTCTCTCGGCAAAGATATATAAAAAATAAAAATAAAAAAAAAAAAAAAAAAAAAATCGAAAAACACTGCACGATATATACCTATATATACATATATATAGACGCAACATATATTTATATAGAAAAAAATTTTTTAAAATTAAATGGGGTGAGTATAGACATAACGGGGTAAAAGTGTATAACTGCAAAAAGAAATACATCTAAAATTAAAATTATATAATTTAAAAAAATATTTTTTTCAAAACAATTTAGAAAAGTTTATTAAAAAAAAAAATGTTATTTTAAAAGAAAAAGATTAAGATTTTTAAATTTAATTTTTCAATTAAATTTTAATTCTAAAAAATTATTTTTTTTTGTCAATATTTAAATATATATAAAATGTATTGCGATTTGATGCAATTATTTTTACACTCCTGATAATAATAAACGTCCAAGTGTTGTATTATATTTCTGATTAAAAAAAAAAAAAAAAAAAAAAAAACGATGCAGTTAACTATGTGTTGCCTTAATTGGAATATATCTCGGCACTTCCTATGTCATTTTATTGTCATTTGACAAATTTATTGAGTTCTCTTTATGGCTCATTTTTTACACACGATGTATTTTTTATATTAATCATTTTTAATCTGTATAATACAAATAAGAAGTAAATAATAATAATAATAATAATAATAATAATAATAATAATAATAATAATAATAATAATAATAATAATAATCCAAATAGGATAAATCTTACCCTTATGTTACATTTTACCCCTAATGCACGGTCAGTTTTACCCCATATGTGTCAATTGACCCCACTAAAAAATACGAATGCTCCAATTTACCTCCGTTTTATATTTATTTATTTATCCAATACAAATTGTCAGAAATTATTTAAATTTTTTATTTTACCCCTATTTTACCCCATATGTCTAAGTTTACCCCAAAAAATGTAAATACCCTAATAATAGTATACTTTACCCCAATAAATATGTATATTTCCTTTTGCCTTGCGACTCCATGTAATATAAAAATTGGCATAAATTGTATATATTATATTAAATAAATACATAAATGAATTTTAATACCCCAATGTTCCATTTTACCCCAGTTACATGTTCAATTTCACCAAATCGAAGTTCAATTTACCCCTATAAAACATATAATTGCTTCATTTTACCCTCGTTCTATGTTTATTTTTATCTCGTATAATTTCTCATAATAACTTATATGTATAAATTTACCCTTATGTTCCATTTTACCCCCAATTATATGTTCTATTTTACCCCATGTTCATTATTATTCCAAATATCAATTTATTAAAAAAAAAAAAACAGAAATGTTCCATTTTATACCATTGTCCCGTTTATTTTGTGATAACTTATATCCTAATGTTCCATTTTACCCCACCTTATGTTCATTTTTACCCCGTATGTATATCAATTTACCCCCCCCCCCCCCGAAAAACCTAGATTCTTCATTTTACCTCCTTCTCATCTTTCTTTTTATTCCGTATATTTTGTGATATAACTTACACTAATGTTCCATTTTACCCCACTTTATGTTCAATTTTACCCCATATATGTCAATTTACCCCAAAAGACATAAATACTAACATAAATACTTTTTTTTAATACTTGAATTTTTTCTTATATATTTATTGTGTCTTAAAAGAAAAGTCATGAAAAAAATGCTTTTCCAATAAACAATTAAAAAAAAAAAAAGTTACAAGCTAATTAATGGTTTGATATATATTAAGAAAATACAGTTTTCAATTTAGTTTTGTCATTATTTTGGACGATTTTTTTTTTGCCTTCTTCCTTCGTTTCTCCCTCAACCTCCCCCCCCCCCACCCACCCACCCTTCCATTTATTTCTTTTCACAAAACCGACACTCAAACCAATAGGATATATAAGAGAAAGAAATGTTGGCACGCACACAAGCGCGTGCCGGCTCCATAAATAAGCTTCGTTAAAAGGAGTCTCTCTCTCTCTCTCTCTCTCTCTCAACTCGCGCGATGGCTCCTCGCTCTTGAATTTCTTCTGTCGAAGTTATCTTCCACGAAGAAACTCAGGTCCTTATCCTGTTTCTCTTTTTCATTTAATTTTTTTTTCCTTTTTTCTTGTTTAGTCTCTCTTTCTCCTTTTTACCCCCTTTTCTCTCTCTCTCTCTCTCTCTCTCTCTCTCTCTCTCTCTCTCTCTCTCTCTCTCTCTCTCTCTCTCTCTCTCTCTCTCTCTCTCTCTCTCTCTCTCTCTCTCTCTCTCTCTCTTTTTTTTTCATTCTGCAATCGAGAATCACGCAAACGCGTTTTGCAAGTACACGTGTATTATACTGACCAACAGCAAAGGTCGTCGGAGTATCGTTAAGGTAAAAACCGATGAAGGAGGGGGAGGGGGGGTGATAGTGGGGTGGGGTAAAAAAGGTAGGGAGAAGTCGCGTGGCCCCATATCTCTTAAGGAGAGAAAACCAAGGGGGGTCTTTAAAGCTGGACAATGAATGGAGACTAACACTATTTTATCATGTAGCCAATTAATAACTATCTTCCTTCCTCTTGAACCCTTTTACCCCTCCCCCCCACCATCACAATGTTCGTTTTCCAAGATATCGTTCCCTCTCTGGGTATATATAACCCTTTTGCTTGCATCGTCTCTTTGCGAAATAGATCTTAACGTGTATATATATATATATGTATATGTATGTGCTGATATCAAGTAAATAAAATTGCATGTAAACAAAGTTTCTTCGATTTACAAAGATGGGGTAAAACTGTCTATATATTATATATATATACAATTAATTTGAATTCAAAAATTGTATATTAATTTCATTGTAAAAATTATTTTTTATTTGTTTTTAATGTACAAAATTTGTGTAATTTCACATGGAAATGACATTTTACCCCATGGGTCGTTTTACCCCCTTTTTAAGAACTAATTTCGATTTTGCATTTTGTGTATTGCCTGTGAGTATGGAAAATATAACGAAAAAAAAAATAATTCAACTTTCATTTGATTCTGTTTTATACATAAAAATGATATTTTCACCCCATATATGTCGTTTTACCCCCTAAGAAATAATTTCAGTTTTGTGTCTTATATATTGCCTGTAGATATGAGAAATATTAGAAAAAGAACAGTGGAAAAGTAATTTAAGTATTATTTGACGTATAGAAATGACATTTTACCCCACAAGTCGTTTTACCCCGTTTCCAAGAACTAATTTCGATTTTGCATTTTGTGTATTGCCTGTGAGTATGGGAAATATAACGAAAAAAAAAATAATTCAACTTTCATTTGATTCTGTTTTATACATAAAAATGATATTTTCACCCCATATATATGTCGTTTTACCCCCTAAGAAATAATTTCAGTTTTGTGTCTTATATATTGCCTGTAGATATGAGAAATATTTGAAAAATAACAGTGGAAAAGTATAATTTAAGTATCATTTGACGTATAAAAATGACATTTTACCCCATTTGTTCGTTTTACCCCCACCTCTCAAAAAATAAATTTTATTTTTTGTGCCTACAGATTGCCTACAGATATTATAAGAAATATAAAGCAAACAATAGTGGAAAAATGATTCAAGTACAGTTTTACCCCATTTTTAATATAAAAATGACATTTTACCCCAAGTCTTATTTTACCCAAAAAGACATAATTTCATTTTCGCTTCTTATATTACTTGTATAGTCATGAGAAATATAAAGCAGCAAAAGTTGAAAAAATAATTAAAATTCCATTTGACTCTATTTTACATTGAAATGACATTTTACCCCATGCTTCGTTTTACCCCAGCAAAGAACTAATTTCATTTTGGTGTCTTATATTACATGTAAAAGTGAGAAATAAAATATGGAAAAAAGTGGAAATTTCACTCTATATCTTTGGTAAAATAGAAATTTGGAAATTATACACTTTACCTTTGGTAAAATAAAACTTTTGAAGTTCCATTTTACCCCATTTTGGACAATTTTACCCCTTGTGTTTTACTTGCGCAGGTATCGCGTTTCACTGCGTGAATAGTACTATTTCTTTTAAAATAGCTAAAATATTTTTGTCTTTTTATATATTCTCCTATGTTGAAAAATAATTTTGTTTATTTTTACCCCACTTGTTCAATATTACCCCGGATTTTACGTTTTATCAATTATTAATTTATAACAATTTTTTTTTATCTTTTTTTGGAGAAATTCCTTTAAAAAAAATTTGTAGAAATAGCAGTTAAAATTTACCCAATGTTTCAATTTACCCCGCACTTATACATTTTTACCCCCATATTCACTTTTACCCCTTAAAACACTATTTTCCCTCCAATGTTGTTACAAAAAATGGTAAATTAAAAAGAATTTGAAAAAATAAAACTCCAAGTAGAATTTACCCGTCTACTTGTATGTAACATTACCCCAATTGGGGTAACATTACCCCCAATTTACAATAAACAATTTATTTGGAACAGCTATATGTTTCTCTAGAATAGCAAAAAATTTCGCTGTTTTAGGGAAACATATCGCTGTTTCAGTGAAACTAAAATCGGCAATAATTTTAATAATGAAAAATTTATCTAGAACAGCTATAAGTTTCTCTAGAATAGCAAAAAATTTCGCTGTTTCAGTGAAACATATCGATGTTCCAGTGAAACTTATCATTGTTTAAGGTAAAGATTTTTTTCCGTGATAAAATTAAAATTTCTCGTAATTATTAAAAAATGGTTTTTTAATAAAAATTTTTTTTTTTATTTCTGTTGCAGTTGATTCTTGAAGGAAATTTTTTGGGACTTTTCTCAACAAAAAATAAAAAATAAAGAACGAGAGAGGAAATATTCGGCGCAGCTGCCAACCTATCATCCCGTGTGAATGTGCATATTAATACTTAGAACTAACATTTACTATATGTTAAATCTACGATTAAAGGCTGTAGCAAGTGGGTTACTATGATTAAGACACTATTTTATGTACTTCGATGTGCATTATTTCACTAATCCCCCTCCTTAAATATTTCCTTTTCTCATATATATATATATATATATATATATATATATATATATATATATATATATATATATATATATATAGGTGTAAATTTATTAAGCATATAAATTTCTTATATAAATTTTCATTTTAAATTCATTTTCAACTTTCGTATCACTTATCTATTTTTTCTTCAATTTATTATTTCTTGAGAAAAAATTTTTTTTTAATACAAAAAAACTGCGCAATTAATTTTTAAAATCTATTTTAGTATATATATTAAAAATATTAAATATTAATAATAATTTAACATTATTTGACATCTTTTTCATTTTTAGAAATTTTATATTTATAGTCAAGAAACAATAAAAATATATTTTTAAATTTACCCTGTGTTCCATTTTACCCCGTAATTATTTTCTATTTACAATTGCAAGTTTCGAATTTTGTATAGTTCTAAAATGTGTTCCAAATTATCGCAGAAAAAATTAGACACAAAATTAAAAAGTTTTTAAAAAAGGTACCAATTAACCCCGCGTGTTCAATTTTACCCCGTAATTATTTTCTAATATTTTATATCGAAAGTTGCAAATTTTATAATTCTAAAACGTGTTCCAAATTATCGCAGAAAAAATTAGACACAAAATTAAAAAGCAAAAACATGTTACAATTTACCCCGTTTTCAATTTTACCCCGTAATTATTTTCTAATATTTATTTATATCGAAAGTTGCAAATTTTATAATTCTAAAACGTGTTTCAAATTACTCGAGATAAATTAAAAACAAAATTAAAAAGCAAAAATATGTTATAATTTACCCCGTGTTCAATTTTACCCCGTAATTATTTTCTATTTAAAATCGTAAGCTTTAAGTTTTTTAGTTCTAAAACGTGTACCAAATTATCCCTTCTAAATTATAAACGAAATTAAAACACCAACAACATATTTACCCCGTCTGCCATTTTACCCCGTAATTATTTTCTATTTCAAATCGAAAGTTGCAAATTTAGTAGTTTTAAAACGTGTTCTAAATCACCCCTCGCGTAAATTAGAAACAAAATTTAAACAATAAAAACATGTTCCAATTTACCCCATATTCAATTTTACCCCGACTTTTATTTATAAAAATAAAAATTATAATTTAACTTTCAATATAAAGTCGAAAATTTTGTAGTATCAAAAAAATTTGTTACATGTCTACTTTTAACCCCATCAATGTATTATTTTACTCTGAATTTATTTATTTTTAATTTAAAATTATTTTCAAAATTTTGTAATTAAATTTTTTTTTTCAATCGTATAGTAAATGAATTTGCTTTTTAACAAAATAAATAAGTATACAAAATTTAAAAATATGGCTCACACAATACAAGCGCGAGCAAAAGAATTTATAAAGTTTCAAGAGTCTAAAAGTTTGTAAAAGGTGGAGGATGATTGCTCGTAAAGTCGTCGACAATATGCACCATCTGCTAAGGCGAAATTAACGAAAGGGTTTCTTTTCTAACTTCATTGGACCCTTTTTTTTTTTTTTTTTTTTTTATTATTTTTCACAGATCTCACTTGTCGACTAAGTTAATTTATAGACACGTTTCTTTCTTTCGTTATTGAGTTTTTAAATTAAAATTTAAAAAAAAAAATTCTTTTTTCCTCGAAACTTTTTTCTTTCTTTAATTTTTATCGTCTTTCAAAGCGCAGAGATATAGAATATGAAAAATATGAAAGAAATTTTACTTTTTCTATATTTAAATTTCTCTTCAGCTGATGAAGAAAAAAAAATGGTAAGTGAAAATTTATTATTATATTTAATTATTATAAAAAACAATGTTTAAAGTTCTTTTAAATTGAGAAAACTAATCTTTCAATCAAAAAGGCTTGGTCCACTTTTACCCCAGTGTTTTGTTTTTACCCCAAAAAAACACTATTTATATCATTATTGTTAGTTTTGTTTTTATTTCACGTGTTCACTATTACCCCGTATTTACTTTTACCCTAAAATATATATCATTGTTTATGAGTATTTTTTTTCAAATTTTCCCCAAAAATTCGAATGTAAATTTTTAAAACGAGAAAAATGGCTTTTTTTGTTTAATTTATCATCATTTGACTAATTTTTGACATTCGTGTTCACTTTTACCCCAAAGGTATAATTATTTTCAAACAACTTTTTGCAAATTAGTAAGAAAAGAAATAAATTGTAAAAAAATTTTTTTAATTATTTAGATACCGTAAAATGGGGTAAAGTCGGCGTTTGCGGGTAAAGTCGGCCGGCGCTTTAAACACTTAAATATTGTACTTCATTTATTAATTTACATTAATTCTAACTACATTTTTAATAAAACTCGGATTTCTTCTGGAAAAAAGTAATAGTTAAACTTTAAAATGATTTAAAGCGCCGGCCGACTTTACCCCCAAACGCCGACTTTACCCCATTTTACGGTACAATTTATAAATATTAACAAAAACTATTCTTAGCTTTAATTTTAGCCTCTCTTGTTCCACTTTACCCAGTGTGTTTACTTTTACCCCTCACAATAGAAGTATTTCTATATTCGTTTTTTTTGCAATTTTTTTCAAAAATCAAGTATAGAATTTAAAAATAACAAAACCGATTTATTGTTTTAATTTAGCCCCTCTTGTACCATTTTACCCCACAATGTTCACTTTTACCCCAAAAATACGATTGTTGTCATACTCGTTTTTTCTTGCAATTTTGCCAAAAAATCAAATACAATTTATAAATATTAACAAAAACTATCCTCAGCTTTAATTTTAGCCTCTCTTGTTCCACTTTACCCCGTGTGTTCACTTTTACCCCTCACAATTAGAGGATTTCTATATTCATTTTTTTTTGCAATTTTTTTTTCAAAAATCAAGTAAACAATTTAAAAATAACAAAACCGATTCATTGTTTTAATTTAGCCCCTCTTGTACCATTTTACCCCACAATGTTCAGTTTTACCCCAAAACTACGATTGTTGTCATTCTCGTTTTTTCTTGCAAATTTGCCTAAAAATCAAATACAATTTATAAATATTAACAAAAACTATCCTCAGCTTTAATTTTGGCCCATCTTGTTCCACTTTACCCCGTGTAGTCACTTTTACCCCTCACAAAAAGATTATTTCCATACACGTTTTTTTTTGCAATTTTTTCTTAAAATCAAATATAGAATATAAAAATAACAAAACCGATTCATTGTTTAATTTACCCTTCCTTGTTCCACTTTACCCCACTGTGTTGATTTTTACCCCAAAACTACGATTGTTTTCATACTCGTTTTTTCTTGCAATTTTGCCTAAAAATCAAATACAATTTATAATAAATATTAACAAAAACTATCCTCAGCTTTAATTTTTGCCTCTGTTGTTCCACTTTACCCCGTGTGTTCACTTTTACCCCTCACAATAAGAGTATTTCTATATTCATTTTTTTCAAAAATCAAATATAGAATTTAAAAATAACAAAACCGAGTTTTTGTTTAATTTCCCCTGCCTTGTTCCACTTTACCCCACTGTGTTTTTTTTACCCCCAATAATACGATTGTTATCATACTCGTTTTTTCTTGCAATTTTGCCAAAAAATCAAATACAATTTATAAATATTAACAAAAACTATCCTCAGCTTTAATTTTAGCCTCTCTTGTTCCACTTTACCCCGTGTGTTCACTTTTACCCCTCACAATTAGAGGATTTCTATATTCATTTTTTTTTGCAATTTTTTTTTCAAAAATCAAGTAAACAATTTAAAAATAACAAAACCGATTCATTGTTTTAATTTAGCCCCGCTTGTACCATTTTAGCCCACAATGTTCAGTTTTACCCCAAAACTACGATTGTTGTCATTCTCGTTTTTTCTTGCAAATTTGCCTAAAAATCAAATACAATTTATAAATATTAACAAAAACTATCCTCAGCTTTAATTTTGGCCCATCTTGTTCCACTTTACCCCGTGTAGTCACTTTTACCCCTCACAAAAAGATTATTTCCATACACGTTTTTTTTTGCAATTTTTTCTTAAAATCAAATATAGAATATAAAAATAACAAAACCGATTCATTGTTTTAATTTACCCCCTCTTGTACCATTTTACCCCACAATGTTCACTTTTACCCCAAAAATACCATTATTTCCAACTATTTTTCAATGAGAATTTTACCTCTTGTTTTCAGATAGTGAATTAAAAAAAAATACCAAGTTCTCCATCCATATAATAATAAATAAATTGAAAATAGTGAATATTATCGATTTCTTGAATGCAGTTTTCAGGGAATATAGAAAAGAGAGAGAGAGAGTGAGAGAGGATGGTGGGTTAGAGGGATTTGCCGTGACGAGTTTGTGAGACCGGTCGAGTCACGTTTAACTCGGGATTTGGTACTTTAGAGAGAGATAGAGAGAGAGAGAGGAAGAGTGAAGGGGGGGTCAAAAAGGGGGGTGGATGTATGGGGGGATAGTTAACCCTCGGGATGGGTTATGAAATGACTTTATGGTAGATCAGAGGCTTGGTTTAGATTGCGCAAAGGGGTATAACGGAGAGCGACCTGGGCACATACACACAAATATACATACATACATACACAGAAAATGAGGGTGTGAGGACGAGGTTCGGTTACCAAAAGCCCCGAATACGAGGGTGACAACGAGACGAGAATCACGCTTCGAAACATTCCCAACACTCATGTTTGGAAATCCATCCAATCGCTAAAGATGCAAGTGGAGAATTGTTAAAAATAGAGAAAAAAAAATTGTTTTTTTTCCTTTAAATATCTACACAAAATAGTAAAAAATAATTTGCAAAAGGAATAGCAAAAATAAAATAATATTTTTAATAATAATAATAATAATAATAATAATAATAATAATAATAATAATAATAATAATAAAAGTAATAATAATAATATATAATGAAAATTCGGGGAAATTAAGCTCATGTTCCATTTTACCCCGATCGAAGTTCATTATTACCCCTTGTGTCAATTTATCCCAAATAA